CTGCACCTTTGTTATATAAAATGTTCAAAGCCAAGACGGAATATCCGTTACATACAGCTATCAGGCATAAACGAGAAGACGTTGTCTTTCTTTATCTGATGGAATACGACTCACAGGTAATGAATGGCATACTTTACATGTCACTGAGTATTATGTATTTGGGATACTCATTATTCAATTCAATTATTCATGATGTCATTAAATAAATAAGAAAAACAAAACAAGGATAGTGACAGTAGTATTTATAATTATAACGATGTTGAAGTAATTTTGCATACGTTTTGTTCTGGTAGTAACATTTTTGGATTCACAGCAGGAGTAACGATGCAAACCAAAGTAACATGGTTGTGTTTAAAAGATCTACTGCAGTGACGCTGCAGGTCAGCATTCTTTCAACACCGATCTGACGCATATTGCGCAAGTTGTGCCGTGAGTTTGTTTGAAACTTCGAACGTTTCGAAGTCTATCTTCGATTGCCCCGTATTTTATGGATATATTGAATCATTTCATAGACCTGTTTACTAAATAATGAAACTTAGAAAACTTGTAAGAACAAACTGGGCCCAAATTGCGCAAATTTGCAATAAGTTTACGCAGCTAGTGTCTGGTTTAGTAGGCGTTCTACGCGTGATTTGCATTCCAGCACGTTCTATTTTCGAACTAGTTGAAACCGGAAATTACGCAAGTACTTTCGAACTTCAAACACAAATTTAATTATCGTTATTATGTGTTAGTTTCTGTTGTTTCAAAGATTAAATTATTTATGACATTAATATTTCACTCACTAAACAATATCTCACTACAATACACGATTGAAAAGCAACTTAAATTGGAAAGAAGATTATCAAGTTCTGGTATAAACACTAGTGTAAAGAGGCAGCATAGCACTATTTTAGCCAGATTCGACTAGTAAGGCGTCATATGTCACAGGTCTGTGTTGGGACAGCGCTTCCTGTGACGACACAACGACATCTACTGTCTCCACACCCTGTCCGCATTGCATATTATTATTGCATCAGTTCTATTTTTAGTAACATAAAATGTTTTTCATTTTCGATTTTAGGATTTTTGCAAGGAATTTTTAAAACAATCGAAGTAAAAGCTCTTTTTTAATGGCAGTTAAAAACAAAACAAAAAACCTCAGATCAGAAACAAATACTGCTACAGTTGGATAGCTGATATGTAGTTTGGTTTCAAAGAACACTACCTCTTTCTTTTCTCCCAGTTGCCAGCTAAGTTAAATATCATAGACGACCACGAAGATCTACCGTTAGATCTGGCATTGTCCACTAAACAGGAGAGTATAGCACAGGAATTAGTGAAGCATAAAGTTGATGTGGATATGACTGATAACCAGGGACAATGTCTGCTTCATAAAGCTGTTAGAAGAGGTGAGAACTGCTGCATCAAAAAAGTGTGGGGGTAGTAAAAATGCATTTTTCCCATCGTGTTGGACTGACCATGTAATGTACATGGTTGAGATAAATGTTGGAATACACATTATGTGGGACTATTATATTAAAATGATTTTCAATATGTTCAGTAGCGGATCCAGGCATGTGTCCACTTATGCCTGTGTGGTAGTCAAATCTACAAGTGGGTACCAAAAATGGTAAGAATCATGCCAGAAAGTACCAAAATGGTGAGAATTCCCCAGAATTCAAATGGCATGACAAAAATTTCAGACCAGGGTGGTACTCAGTTTCAAAACATGGGCCTGTCTATTATGTTGGTAATTGTTGCAGCTTCCAATTTTGTGGTTTGAATATCATTTGCCGTAAAACTGTTGTATAGTGTTCTTTTGAATGCACAATTATTCGTCTCTGACTGACAGTAAATTCAGAATCAAAGAAAGCTTAGAAAGAACTCCCATGTGCTGAGAGTATTAGAGACACATTAAATATAATTTGAAATTACTTAGCCCAAAACTAATTATGCAAATCAGAAAATTTATATGAGTGTAAAACTAATGAGGTCTGAGCAATGTAACAAAAACTCTACATGTGTATGTACCAAGTTTAATTGAAATGTGATTAGAACCAACAAATTATGAATTATTGTGCTAATTAGGGAATTAATATGAACAGATTTTTACCCCAAACTAATTAGGTTTGTACATTGTCCTAGAGCATCTTTGTACTACCGGTAAGTTTCATTAAAATGGAATAATTAGTACTTTAGATATCAGTGTGAAAGACTTTAAACTTAAAGCTTAAAAACTAATGAGGTCTGCGCAATGTAACAAAAACTCTATGTACCAAATTTAATTGAAATGTGATTAGAACCAAAAAATTATGAATTATTATGCAAATTGGGTAATTAATATGTACAGATTTTAACACACAATTGACCAGGTCTGTCTATTGTCCTACAGCATCCATGTATAAACATTCATTGATATGTGATGATTAGTACCTGACATATCAGTGTGAAAGTTGGAAATTGGTTAATTATGCAAATTAGGTGATTAATATGCACAAATATTTACCAAAAACTAATTGGGTCTCTGCATAATTCTAGATTCATTGAAATGTGATGATTAGTACTTTAGATATCAGTAGAAAAGCTGATAATTAATTATGCAAATTAGGTAATTAATATGCACAATTATTTACCCTGAAACTAATCAGGTCTCTGCATAGTCCTAAAGGATCTATGTACCAAGTTTCAATTGAAATGCGATGATAGTACTTGAGATACCCGTGGAAAAGCTGAAAATTAACTAATTATGCAAATTAGTGATTAATATGCACAAATATTTATCCGAAACAATCAATCTCTGCATAGTCCTTGAGTATGTAAGTACCAAGTTTCATTGAAATGTAATTCTCACTACTTGTATCAAAGCTGAAA